TGTAAACACGTGTGCAGGTTTTGGCGTAGACCTAAGTTTTCAATTCCTTCGGGTAAATACCAAGGAGGATGATTGCTTGGATCGTGTGGTGAGAATAGGCCTAGTTTTGTAAGAAACTGCCGAACCGTCTTCCGAAGTGGCCGCCCCATCTTGCACTGCCACCAGCAGCCCGCTGCTCCGCATCCTCTCCAGCATGTGCTGGAGACGGTGTTGTGGATTTTGGCCGTTCTAACAGGTGTGTGTGATACATGATGTTGAGAATTTTTCGTATTTTTATTTGCCATCTGTACATCTTCTTTGGTTCAGGGTCCATTTTTTGCCCATGGATGTCCTGTTGCTCCAGTATCATTTGTTGAAAAGACTGTCTTTCCTCCAATGAATTACTCTCACACTTTTGTCAGAATTCAACGTGCTAATGAGGCAGTTTTGGGTTCTCTTTCGCTTTCCGTCAATAGCACGCTGTCTGGATTGCGGTAGCTATACAGTAAGTCTTGAAATCAAATAGAGTGATTCTTCCTACTTTATTTTCCTTTTTCAGAATTACTCTAAGTATTCTAGTTCCTCTGCTTTTCCATATAAATCCTAGAATAATCTTGTATATATGTGTGAAAAGTCTGGCTGTGCTTTTGCATGAAACTAGTCTCTCCTCTTGTAAAGAACTGGCTTTGCCAGGTTGGATTCCAGTCCATGAACACAGCACGTCTCCCATTTACTTAGAGCGTCTTTGATTTCTCTCATCTGATTTCTTTTTGGTTTTCAGCATACAGAACGTGTTTTATTGGATTTACAACTAAGTTTTTTTTTTGAGCAATTGTAGGTGGTGTTGTATTTTAAATTTGAGTTTCTGTACATATATTGCTAAGTCATAGAAATACAATCAACTTTTGCATTTTGCTCTTGTGTTCTGCGATCTTGCTGGATTCATGAGTTCTTGGAGTTATTTTGTAGGTTCCTTGGGATTTTGTGTACCGACTGCCACACCATCTATAAATACAGACAGTTGTATTTCTTCTTTTCCAGTCTGAATGCCTTTGATTCCCTTTTACTGCCTTGTCATGCTGGCCAGGGCTCCCAGTGTTAATGTGTAAGAGGACCTTTGTGCCTTGCCCCTGGACTTGCGGGGCAGGTGGGTGCATAGATGTTATTTATCAAGTTAAGGAAGCTTCCCGCAATTAGCAGTTTTCTGAGGATGTATATCATGAATGGGATTTGAATTTTGCCGAGTGCTTTTTCTGCCTCTGTTGATATGGTGGTGTGCTCTTTCTTCTTTAGCCGGTTGATAGGGTGGATTATATAGATTGATTCTTGAGTACTGAATCGGCCTTGCGTCCCTGGAATAAACTCCACTCAGTTGCAGTCTACAACTCTTTTTATGTGTTGCTGATTAGGATCTTTGCATTTATATTTATGAGGGATTTTGGTCTGTGGTTTTCTCTGTTTCGTGCTGTTTTTGTCTGGTTTTGCTTTCAGGCTGGTAACGCCTTCATGGGTGCCCCGGGAAGTAGCCCCTCCTCGCCGGTGTTCTGCCAGAGCTTGTGCGGAGCTGCTGTGCGTTCCTCTGTCAGTGGTTAGTAGAATCCCAGTGAGACACCCCTTGGCCTGGACGTGAGGCTCTGCAGGAGGCCTCGGGGCCTCCACGGCCCAAGGCTGCAGTGACGGAGGCCCTGCCCTGCCCTGCCAGCGAGGGGAGGGGCCGGCCTGGCCCGGAGACCAGAGCCCGGACGGCCTTGAGCTGTCCTTGGCTTTGCTTCCCCTTGCTTGTTGGCTGACAGCAGACCCTGCTCATCGGGGCTTTACCCCTCAGCCCCCCTCTGCCACACACGGTTTCCGTCCACCGGACACCACGTCCAGGCAGGGCCTGTGCCTGGAGGCTCGGCAGGAGGGAAGTGCTGTGTGCAGGAGCTTTGTAGGCTGTGTCTATCGGCATCCAGGCGGGTGTTCCGATGCCCCTGCGGCATTTTCTGTGGATTTCACCAATGACTGGTCCTCTGGGAGGCGGCATGCCCGGAAATTGAGCATGCGGATCAACCAAACATTCATGTTCGTAATGTTTATGTCAAACATATTTATTCTTTGTTTTGTGACTCAGAATGATTAACATGATCTTGGGGGGCCTGGCACCCTGGTTTTGAAGGGTAGGTCGTATTGCCTCTGGGGGAAGGTCTGGTGAGAATTTCATGGTTCTAGAACCTCAGCCACCTAGCTTCTCCACCGCCTCATGTGGGCCTCCATGCCCCCTCCCCAGGACTTGTGTGCTCACTGTACCCCCTTTCTCCCACATACCAAAGGCTATGCCCTCACCTCTCAGATGCTGGGTTCTCACCACTGTTTTTCTTGACCTTCATCCTACCCCAGACATTTAAATCACAAAACGTAAAATCAACTTACTCTCCAACTAGCCTACCTAATTTTCCCCGCAATATTTTAATCTTCTCGCGTCATCTCGCTACGGGCACATAGCTCAGTCACTTGAGGCTGCTGTAGTGGAATGCCACAGCCGGCGTGGTTTATAAACAGACACGGGTGTCCCACCATTCTGGGGGCTGGACGTCCAAGACCGAGGTGCTGGCATGGTCAGGTTCTGGGGAAGGCCTCCTCCTGGTTCATGGAGGGCCATCTTCTGGCTGTGTCCCCGCGTGGTGGAAGGGGCCAGGGAGCTCTCGGGTCTCTGCCGTCATGACCCATGCATTTCCCCAAGGCCCCACCTCCGGATACCATCACACCAGGGATCAGGTTCGAGCATATGAACTTGGGGGAAACCAACATTCAGACTGTGGCTGCAGGCATTTTTGTCTGTTCTGTACCCCACAGTATAGTTAGCACTGAGAGGAGTATTTAGTGTGAAAACATTGCTTAACAAATATTTGTGAAATGAGTACTGGTCCTTGGCGATACCGGCTCTTCCTAACCAGGAGCTGCTGAGCCAAGTTGCCTGGAGAGGGTGGGGCTCCAGGGTCCGTTGGGGTCAGGCTCGCACAGCAGGCGGGGCTCTTGGTCATTCTACCGCAAAGGCTCTCAGGCTGTACTCGTACCATTTCTCTCGGGGCCCCCGCACCGAAGCCCACAGGCACAGTGAGTGGCCCTGTGCTTGCTGCCCTCTGGTGAGGCCCAGGGTCAGACAGCTGGTGGGAAGCATGGCCTGGCAGTATGTGCTGTGGCAGAGAGCCCCACCTGCCCAGGGCCCAGGCCTCTGTGTGTGCCCTAGGGGTGCTGGAACGCAACCTGCAGGGCCCGGAAGGGACAGTGGCTTGGGAGTAGGCAGGCCTGGCACATTTGGGGCCCTCACTGAGCCCCAGGCCCAGGTGTGAAATGTGGGTACAGGGTGGAGGGTGTGAGAGCGCACTGGGAGCCGTGCATCCCATCCCGGCGTGTGGTGTGCCAAGCCAGCTCCCTCCCTTTCCCGCTCCCATCTCCCAGGGCTGCTGCTGAGTCACGGGAGCCAGATGGGGTGTGAAGAAAGCAATCAATCCAAGGGCTCTTAAGGCTGAGTAGTGACACTGGAATGCACTAGAAAATCAGCACGTAGATCTTCTAGGACTCAGAAGTCCCAGAATGGAGTCCTTTCCAGGATACTGGCAATCCTGGAAACTTTTTAAAAAACAGTTCCGAGTCCCAGTTTCCTCATCTGTGAAGTGTGGGTGCCGATGCCTGCCTCCCAGAGATTAAGCAGGACAGCACAGGTGAGACCACCAGGCATAGAGGCCGTGCCCACCCCGCGCTCTGCCTTCCCCTCCGTCCCTACAGCCCCTGTGTGCCTGCCCCGTCGTCACTGTTGGGCAGGCTCCTGCGTGGAGTAGCCCATGGGTAAGGGTGAAATGACCAGGAGGGAAAGCACAGGAAGAGTCTGACTTGGCTCCGGGGCCGTGGAGATCCTTATCGGGGTGGGAAGCTGGGACACCCACACCCAGAGCGGGAAGCCCACACCCGGCAGCCGGCACACGGTGGGTGAATGGAGAAACGGCTTCTAGAGCTGCCTCAGCAGCCAGAGGACAGAGCGTCCTGGGATGCCTAGCTTCTGACCTTTGCCAGAGAGGCAGTTGGACGCGTCCACTCCTGTCCCCAACCAGCCCTGCCACCAGAGCCTCCAGCAGGCCCCTGGGTGGAACCAGAAGGCTCCTGGCTGCCCGCGTGTGGTTTTTTCTTGCGTCCTAAGATTCATCTGCAGTCTTAGGGGAGGGAACCCATGCTCGAGAGAGATTCAGGCGTTCACATGGTGAAGGAAAAGCTTTGTGATTCATTTATTCAGTGGGTCTCTGTTAACACTTGGCCTTGCCTGGGTGATGTCTTAGAGCCCCACCCTCGTCGAGCTCCCAGTTTGAGGGGACTGGATGTTAATCCGAGGACTCCAGTGGATGTTCTGTCACCACTCTGAGAAGGGCTGCAGGGCCATGGTATTGGGGGGGTGCTCAGGAGGTGAAGCAGAGGTTTCTCCAAAACTGAGGAGGACTAGTCATGAGGCTCCAGGCAAAGGGAAGAGCTTGTGCAAAGGCCCTGGGGAGGAGACAGCAGGCCAGATTCAAGGAAGCCAAGGGTGCTGCAAGTGGTGGAGGTGTGGGAATGGGGCCAGCACGCGGGACCAAAGCCTGCCAGTCAGATGGGGGTCCGTGTTGTGGGCAGACAAATGGGGAGCAACTGGGGGCGCTGCAGCAGTGGTTTTCCTGCCTCCTGTGGGGAGCAGCCCGGGAGCAGGGCCTGGAAATAGGCAGACCTCTGGGCGTGGGCTCTGTCTGTGCCACTGGGGGGCCCAGCTGTGGACCGAGAAGCTGCCCTGAGTCGCCATTCTCTTCTGAACAACCTCCTTCAATAAGGAACCTGGCGCCGCACATCTCCTGCCTCCTTTGCAGAGCCGGATTGGGGCTGGGGTTGGGGTTGGGGGTCCGCGCCCACAGGCCCCGCCCACCGCGCGGAGCCACGCCCACACGCGGGGGCCTCACCCGCCGGGGTCCCGCCCACCGCGCGGAGCCACGCCCACACGCGGGGGCCTCACAGGCCGAGCGCCCGCGCGCTTGAGTCACCGCCCGGCCGGCTGGATCCGGTTCCAGCCGAGCCGGGCCGGCCTGACATGCGCAGTGCGTGGGCGCTGCAGCCGGGCGGGCCGCGGGCTCGCTGACTGCCCGGGACGCGGAGGTCAGTGCGCCGAACCCGGGAGCGGGGCTCAGCGGGGGTGGGGGCGTCCGCTCTGCCCGAGCGCGCGGAGGGCGGGGCGTGTCCGGCTCGGGAAGGGGCGGCCGGTTCCTGCGGGGGGCCCGGCCTGGGGAGGCCCCGGGCCCTGGTAAGACGCCTCACGGTGAGGGCGGCGTGCCCTTCCCCCACGGGGTCGGGCGCGGGTGGGCCCACGCCGCTGCCGGGGTCACATCGTCCTGGGAGCCCCGCCCGGCCACCCGGGTCCGCCCTGCCCACTTCCTGGGGTCCGGAGCGCCCTGCTCCCCAGCCTCGGCGTTCTGCACGGTGAGGATGGGGCCCCAAGCCATGTCCTGCAGCGGGGGGTGGGGGGTAATCGTGGGGGCTCCGAGCTGTGTCCTGCACCGGGGGGAAAGCAGGGGGGGTGGGGGCTCCGAGCTGTGTCCCGCTCCGGGAGTGGGGGCTGCGGGGGCCGTGAGGGAGGCTCCGAGCTGTGCCCTTAGCAGCTCGTACCTGGGGAAGGCCTCTGAGGCCCGCTGACCCTCTGGTTGCTGCTTCAGAGAGCTCAGCCCCGGGCCATGTGACCCCACGCGAGTCCCCTGGCTCTCCAGCCCGTCTTCTCTGTAAAGCTGGGCAGTGGTCTAAACCCTGTCCCTGCTCTGCACTCTGGGACTCACCTGTCCTTTCTCTCTCCTCTCCTGGGATGGGTGTTGCTCTCTGCGTGGGACATCTTCAGGGCTTTTGTAGCCCAAGGCGGCCTTACCTTTGCAAGGCCCACCCGCGCATAGCGCATCATTGTTTGGGGGAGGAAAACGTAGACAAGGATATTCCTGTTTTGCTTGTGAAATGATTTGGCTGTAACTCTTTATTTGGGCACGTGAATTTTCACAGTACATTCAGGAATTCTTGCAAAGTGAGAAAAACCTAACCCATGGTTTCCAAATGTGATGAAATTTTTTTGAAAGTTACGTTTAACAATTGATGGAGTTGACTTAATGATACACTGTATACATTCAGTGAAGCATTTGTTTGGATTTTGCTGTTTCATCTTGGAGCCAATACATGTTTTGGTTTTTTTCCCATAGCTCAGACCTTTTGCAGGTCCTGAACAGCCCGCAGGGCCCAGAAGGCAGCGGGGCCCCTGGCATGAGGATTTAGATCGAGTTGCCCTGTTCACTTTGTACCCAAAGGCTCGGCCGAGACGCCGCTGAGGGAGAATACAGTCCAGAGACTGTTCGGTTGGAGCGGCACGAAACACATTGGGAAGTCCGTGCAGAACTGTTGGTTTTTCCCTTGAGAGAAGCAGTGTCCGCGCGTCTTCCCACAGTCGTCCTGGGAGAGCCTGCGCCCTGTGCCTGCTCCCCGAGCGCTGGGCCCACCCCAGCTGAGGTGGGGGGTAGATGTTTTTGCCCTTGTGTAGTATGCGTTCACACGTTAAGAATCTGATCTTTGTTAACGTGTGGCAAGGTCAGCACTGCCAAATTAGGAACGAGTCTCTGCTGATTTTTCGGAAGTTGTTGAGAAGTATATTTTTGGTGTAGTAAATGTTATTTCTAGAGTCATTTACAATTCCTACACTTAATATTCTGCCTGGCTCTGCCCGTTCTGGCCATCAGCCTGCCAGAATGGTGTTTCCAGATTAAACACAACGTGCAGCCTTCAACTCCTGGCTAGTCCCACGTTTCCGGAAATGAAAGGAAGGCAGATTGAGAGTTTACTAGGAAGGCGGTGGGCGTGGCTGGGGGCCTGCTGTGAACACAGGGCAGGGCTGCACATGTGACTTTTGCCTTCCAATCCAGCACTCGTGCCTAGAAGCCACAGCGGTGACCTTCCACACGAGGCTGTTGACCATTCCCAGTGCCCTTGGGCTCCACGCCTGCGCTGGCCCACTGGTAACGAGAGAAACGTTACTGAGTCCAGATCATGAGTTCCCTAAAACCAAATGAGGGCCCAGTCGGGCAGTCCTACTCGGGATGACGAAGCTCACACCAGGGGGAGTCAACCCAAGGCAGTGAGGGCTAGCAGCGGGGGGCGGGGGGGCCCTCAGGGCCCGGAGGTCCGGGAAGACCCAGTGGGGTCCTGCCTCAGCTGAGCGGTTAGCCTTGCCCTGTGTGGGGGGCGGTGTCCACGCCTTCTCTGGCCATGAAGTGCTGGGGCTCCGCCAGCCTGGTGCCAGGGCCTGTGCCTCTCTGGTGGGAGGCTGGGCAAAGAGGGCCCCTTGCAGCCTCTTTGGGGACTCAGCCTGCTCTCAGAAGGCCCTAAGACTGTGATGGTGCGGGCAAACCGCTCTGCCGTAAATGCCCAGTTTGAAACGCTGACCCCTCCACTTGGGGGGGAGGCAGGGGAGGACCCGCTTACCAGCTTCTTTCTCTGTGGAGTCGACGTTCTTCTAATGAAGAGCGTGGAGTCCTCCCTGTCGTGCCCCTCCTCCCCTGACCTCCCACCCCTGCTGCCACAGTTGGCCTTCTCCTGGTCACCATCAGCATTCCCTTGCCCCATGGCCTTTCCTGTCCCTGCTGCCGGTGGCCCCGGGCTCAGACAGAACCACAGCTCAGCCTGTTAACATGTCCCTCTGTCCCCACCTGAGGCTGCTGGGGAACAGGGTTGTGCTTCACTTCTGTCCCGAGGCGCCTGGCTTGCGCTTTGCCCTGGATGGCTGCCCCAGATGGTGCTCTGGGGGGGCAGTGCCAAGACTGACCACATTCCACACTGAACCAAAACGGGCAGCAGGCCCTGCACCCTCCAGTGACGGTGCTGACTTACCCGTGCCTGGGCAGCGTCGTCCACCACACTTGCTGGGAGGGGCGGCTTGCTGGAGTCTGCCATTCAGGACTGGCTGATAAGGTAAAAGGAGGAAGGTGTCACCGGTGTCTGCCAGGTGGCCTTCCCCGTCGGTCACCAGTCCCTGTGGGCACCACCTGCACACCTCCTTCACACCTCCTTCCCTCTTGCACAGGAACGTGGAGATTTGTCCACCCCATCCCCCCCAAACCCTAGCCTATCTGCTCCTCCTGTCCATCCATGTGTCTGCCTCCACTAGAGAGTGGGCCCTCCAAGGACAGGGCTGGACATGCTGACTGGATGGATGGACAGACCAGCTGTGAAATGGTAAAAGTGTCCTGAATAGAAGGATTGGCTTGTAGTATCAGAGGACTTTGTTTCCAGAAACCTAATGTGACCTTTGTAAAGATGCCATCTCAGGGCTGAAGGTTCTCTGTGTAGACACCGTGGCGTCAAACTGTGGGTGTGGGGCTGGGCAGAGGAGCTCTCCTCGCTGGCTCGGGACCACCCTGTCTCCCAAGGACCCAGTAAGCTGGTCCCAGGACAGCATGGGAGAGTTGGGGCATCCTGACACCCATCTCAGGCTGAAGCTCTGTGGGGCTGGTCATCACGGCTGGCTCCTGTACCCACATCTGTATACCTGTGTGTCTTAGGGCTTTGCAGTGCGTATTGGTCTCTAACAAACACCCATTTCTGTCCTGGGGTTAAGAGAAGCAGTAGGAAAAGCTGAGCCACCGGCGCTCATGACCTGCACTGGTCTCCCGGCCCTGGGCTGTCTGGTGCACACGGCCTGCCCAGCACGAAGGTGCACTGTGCGGCAGGGGAGGTGGCCCCATGGCCCTACGCCCAGAAGCTGAGACAGGGAGTCAGGTCCCACCAACAGCCCAGGGCCTGGGGTTTGAAGAATGTCAGTGTGGAAGACCCCCCCACACACACACACACAGCAGTGGACAAAAGACTTCATCCCTCCAATTCCTCATCTCTGAAAACAAGGTGAGCTCCGTTGCAATCCTGGAGTCTGTTCTTTGACGTGTGTGCCGGCATGTGTTTCTGGGAAGAGGGTCCAGCGGCTTCCATCCTGTTCTCCGAGGCCAGGTGCATTTAGATGGGGAGGAACGGGTGGGGCAAGAGCCTGGCTGTTCCAGGGCTCCCAGGTGTGGGGTGGCAGACCTACAGGCTTGGGGAGCCGGGCTCGAGTTGGGGTTCATTCTTAATCCCGGCTCTCAAATTCAGAGAGTTCGAGCCTGGAATTTAAAGAAATAGCTGCTTTCGCTGTCTCTGTTCACATTTAGCATTTCCTTCCGCTGCGAATGTCTGCGGCAGACCACGGTGGCATTGGCAGGACCCGTGGAGGGCACAGGTGCGTCCTGGCACGTGGCGGGTGGAGACCTCACCTGTGCTCGGCTGCGCGCTGGTCACGGTCTCAGCCCTGCGGCAGATGCGTAGCGACGCGCAAGGTGGTGCCTGTTCTGGTAACGGCCTCTGTGCCCCTGCGTGTCCCGTGTATCGCGTCTTGCGTTTGCAAGCCGCCTCGGGGGTCCCCAGGCCCCACCCCTGGCACGGGCGTCCGGATCCAGGAGCTATGCTCTGCGAGGAGCCCCAGCCGACCTGACAGCCGCTCTGGCCGCCGCTCTCCCTGTCCTCCAGGAGCTCACTTACATCCGGCCGTGAGCTCCTCGAGGCCAGAGCCCGCGTCTGCCTCCGCTCAGCGCTGCCCGAGACCCCCACCGAGCGCAGGGCCCCGCAGCCCCCGTCTCCTGGCCGCTTCTGTGGTGCCTCAAAGCAGCAGCTTCGCCAGCGTCCGCGTGCATGTTTTCTGAAGTTGCCGTTTCAACCCGGATGCTGCAGACAGATGAAACGGGGAAACTCTCCCATTCGTGCGGTAGCGGAGGACTGACTGTACTCTGCGTGTTAGCTTGGGCAGGTATCTTAGGGTGGTAAGGGGGACTTCGGGGAAATCGGCCTGAGAAGGATGTGACGGTTCATCCCCGCACGTTTTATCTCATCGGCTCTAACGAGTCGGCTGGGTGTTGCTGTGAGTTTCTGGTGGCTGAAAAGGCCTGTTGGTCTTGGTTCTGCAAGCCGTGTCACTGAGGCTCCCGGGAAGGGGGCATGCGGGGCGTCCATATTGCCTGTCACAGCTGCGTGCGCATCTGCTTATTTCAAAATAAAACACTGCATTGAAAAATTACAGGAAACTGTCCCTTTTTTTGTTCGTTTCTAGAAAAGGAAGGGTAGTTTGTTACCATAAGTTACTCTTCTGAATTTTCATAACTGAGGTAATGAGTCTGATTAAGGTTCAGTCTTTGAACTGGAACAAAATTTCCAGCGGTGCCACAGACGGAGGCGTGGGCTTCCTGCCTGCCCACCGAACTCCTAGGTTCAGAACCAGAAGGAAGAGGGGCTCCGTCATGGGGAGGCCTGCAGGCCAGAGCCAGCTTCCTTTTTTCTGCTGATCCCCGGACCCCTGTCTGCAGAGCCCCTTCTGTCCCCTGAACTCGGGCTCTGGGACAGTTGACTTCAGGGTGCCAAGGGTCGAAGGGTCAGTAGACCCCACTGTGGCCCTGGAGGGCCTCCTGTGTGGAAGGTGCTGCTCGGAGCATTCTGGGCAGTTTATGGACAGACGACTGTGGTTATGGATCCTCTGCCCGGGGGCTGCACGGATGCGGCACATCTGTAAACGGAGGACTCCATAGAGAGACTGCCTCCCTTGCCACCCAGGCCTTCGGGGGCAGAGAAGGAAGGGGAGGAGGGCCCCGGCTCATGCCCCCCACCCCCACGGTCACGGTCACTTTCACCCCAAACCCCAGCCCCCGTGTGAGGGCGTTCCTGACAGCAGCCCCCCGCTGCGGGCTCGCCCTTGACCGTTGTTTCTACTGCGCAGTGTTCTAACACGCCCGCTCCGTCGGGTGGTCAGTTGATGGGTTTTACCAGGTGACAGGTGGGTGAGGACGCTGCTGGAATCGGGCAGGCAGTGAGTAACAGCACTGTTGGACGGCCCGGGGTGCATCGGTGAACCCCCCCCAGCGCAAGTCCCACTCTCGGGGAGCCCTTGTCTGAAGTGGCCTGACCGCATTCCCTGTGCTCCCGGCTCCAGCCTCAGGCCCCGTGCCAAAGGAGCCCCTCCAGTCACGGATCGCATTTCCAGGTGAGGAAAGGGTACCTGGACCCCAGACTGTCTTCTGACGCTGCGTGAAACTATTTCCAGTAGTTTGGCTCTGCCACCACGATGAACAGACTGGTGGGGAGGGCCCCTGCCTGTCAGTCCCTGCTCAGGTGCTGCCCCTCCTGACCCTGGTCCCTGCTCTGCCGGCATCGAGACCGTGCCCTGGCTCGCCCTCCCCCGAGAGCTCTCCCTGCCGCTCCCTGGCCGAGCAGGGCCCACGTGTGCTGGTCTACACCGCCCCTCTTTTCAGAGGCCCACTGGGACCTGGGTGAGCCTGGGCGGGAGGGGGGCGTCTTGCTCTCACACATCTTGCTTGGGGCACAGGCTGCACGGAAGTGGTCTCGGGAACCACTCGGGGTTTATCGCAACTCTGGGCTCTCTCCTAAGCCAACCCAGCGGCTGCGTCTTCAGTCGAGGTCGGGGCGGAGCAGATCCCACAGCAGCACTGGGCCTGCCCACTTGCCTCTCCTCGTGGTGTCTAAGTTTATCCTGTTTTAGTAATCTCTACACCCGACATGGGGCTTGAACTCATGACCCCGAGATCAAGAGTCACCTGCTTTTCCAACTAAGCCAGAACCGGCTGTACATGAGGTGGGGTAGCCAGGCGGGACGTTCTTCCCCGGGGCTGCCCCGCCTTCCCTTCCATGTGGGGCTGGGGCCTCAGCAGGCGACCCCACAGGACCATGATGGGAATGAGGAGAGTGCCCTTTTGGATCGTGATCTGTGCTCGCTCCTGAAGCAGGAGGAGGTCTGGGGAAGGCAGGGCGCTGTGCAGAGGACGGTACAGACATGACTGGGGCCAAGGAACGTCCCCGGGAAGGGAAGGTGGCCGTGGGCCGGCCCACCCCCAGAGGTGGAGGGAGGCTTGGAGCAGGAGACACGACCCCCGGGCCCAGGCAGTTCTGATGTCTCCTCAGTGGGAAGAGACCAAGGCTGGGGGTGGGCACTCCTGAGTGCCCAGAGGTGAGAACCAGCACCTGCAAGCTGCTTCGACGGAGCCCATGGGCGCTCCCCTCTCGGGAACGGTGGCCCGGTGGTGAGGAAGGACAGCGGGCGGGACTCAGGCTGGGTTCTGTCACTGGCCTGCTGGGTGAGCTCAGGCCCTTCCTGCCCCATCCCCAGGCCTTGCCTGCACACCTGTTGCTGGGGAGATGGGTCAGTGTCCGTGACGGACTCCATCCGGGGAATGCTGTTTCCTCCCGGGGAGGCAGACCCTCCGGATTCAGGCAGCACGCACCTCCCCTGCTGCGTGCCGTGTTGGCTCACACGTCCTGGCAGAGGCAGAGGGTCCCTGGCCCACAGGGGAGGCTGCTCTGCCTGAGGTAGGGAGAGCCCAGGCCCCACGCGGGCCCTGCCCGCGGCTTCCCCCAGCCTCCCGGTGCGTCCAGCCAGGCTGCAGACCCCATGGTGGGAGTGGGGGCTGCCCTGGAGGTTGAGGGTGCCCCTCGTTCACGGGCCCAGGGCACAGGTCCTGGTAGCCCCCATCCCCGGTGCCATGCTGAGGCCCAGCTGGAGGGTTGTCTTCACTCTCAGCCTGCATCCTGGTCCCCGGAGCCTCAGTCGTGCGGTGAGCACTGTGCTCCCGTCTGACCCGAGCCGGTGTGACCTCTGCTGCGGCCGGGTTAGCCTTGCCCTTCCTGCCACCAGCTGTGGTGAGAGGTGTGTGCACGCGGCTGGCTTTTCCCCACAAAGCCACGGTAAGACGTCAGCCCGTCAGCACGGGGCACGTTTCCTGTTTCGTAGGGAGCAGGGGCTCACATGCACGATTGGACCCCAGCTGGGCAGCCTCTGAGCTTCAGACTCTTCCTCCCTGCCCCCGATCCCTCCCCAGCTCCTGAAGAGCGACTGGTCCTGGGAACCGCTGCCCAGAGCTTGTCTGGAGCTTGCGGAGGAAGCTCGTGCTGAGCCAGGACATGGCTCCAGGCTCAACTCCTCTGCCGATGGGCCAGGTGGAGGCTTGTGTGTGTGCCTGGCGCTAGTCCTGTGGTTTTAGATGCCCGGATCAAGTCGGCAGCTCATAAAAGTTGAGCCTAAGAGGAACTGGGGCAGAGTCCAAGCCCGGCCTTCTGGAAGGCCCAGCCCTTCTCAGCTCCTGGTGCAGCCCCTGCCCCGCTCTGAGAACTGGTCCTGGTGGGTCAGGAGCCAGAACCCAGGCTGCTGGGACATCTCTGCCCTTTACCACCCTCCTCCAGACCCACCACAGACTGGCCTCTGGGTGGCGGGGCGCCTTCTGAGCGCTGTGTGCTGTTCCCCATCTGTGAAGACCTCTGTGAGCGGGCTTGCGGAGATGAGCTCTGTCAAACCCCAGAGCTCTCTGCAAATGTCAACGCGGGAAGTGGCCGGGTATGCGTGGTGCCTGTGGAGAGAGGGAGCCTTTGGGCTGACCCGCAGGTGCGGGCACTGGGCCCAGCAGCACTGGGAGCCTGGGAAGACCCGTCCTGTCACGTGTCGCTGCCGGCTGCCCTGGGCCAGACCTGGGGGTGGCCCTATCCAGACAGAGATGTGCTCTGAGCGTACAGCCCACAGCGAATGCAGAGACTTAGCGTGAAAAACAAGGCTGCAGAATTCCATTACCACTTTCGTATTGCGTCTGCCCTCTAGGCAGCCTCCGTGGCGCTGGGCCCCTGCCTCTGTGTCTCCGTGGCGCTGGGCCCCTGCAGGCCTGAGCTCCCACTTTCTGCCTTGGATGGCACCTGCCCAGGCCCGGGATGCGAGTCCCAGGGGCCCGAGCCCCCTGCCTGGTGGAGCTGTGGGGTGAGCAAAGGGGTGTGTGCACGTTTCAGTGTCTGGCCTGGGGGACCGTCGAGAACGGCCCATAGCTAAGAGTTGGGGGTCTTTATCTAAATTTGGCTACGTTCTAGATACTTTCGCTGCTGCTCGAGTAATTTTTCCTTTCACCACATTTTGAAAAATAAAATGTGGCCACAAATGTCAGGAGGCATTACTCCACCGTGTAGACAAGCAGAGAGAAGGTTCCGGAGCCCAGGGAGAAGCCCTCCTCCCCTCCCCAAAAGCTGCTCCAATGCTGATCGAATTTTGGATTTCCACATATGATCTCAGGGAGGAAAATCAGTTTCCCTTGCTTTACAAAACCTCGTAAGCATTGAGTCTAGTGTCTCCTGCTTTCCATGTGGGGAAATCCGGAGGATGGCTGGTTTATCCCGACTCTCCGCTGCAGCTGGTGGCAGGACCACAGCGACCTGTGGGGAGCGGACTTGAGCAGCTCCTGGCCCGTCCTGGGCTCTGGCCGCCTCTGTGCCCCGGCCTGGGCCAGCCGCTCCTCCTCCCACACAGCGGGGCCCCCTTCCCTCCCAGCTCCCTGTGTAAAGAGGAGCACTTGATTGTCGCTCCTGGGTGCTCTGGGAAGGACAAGGGGCCTTTCTCTGGGACACAGCTGCTGTCGACCCTCGTGGAGCCCCCCGAGTGAGGGCCGGAGGCCATGGCTGCACGCCTGGGGCTGGGGCTGGGGCGAGCTGTCACCCCAGGAGCCTCCCTTCGGGCCCTGAGGCTCAGAGCAATCCACGTTTTAACCGGGGCAGCTGCCGTGCTCGGGAGCAGGTGCAGACTAGTGACGAGACACCCAGCGAGCGGGGATGGCCAACATCCACGTCACGGCCCACGTCACCCTGGGCTGCACTGCCTGTTTGTGTGTCAGACCCCTCCCCTGAGTCTCTCATTTGGCAGAAAGCCCACACTGGACAGTCCGGCCCAAACCGGACACTGGCGAGGTCCGCGGGAGGGGGCACATCAGCTGACCCCACGGACGCTGCCCCTGGACGACCCCAGTTTCCAGAGAAGGGGTGGGGGACGATGCCAGGGGTCCACTGCACTGTGGCACGTGATACCCCTCACACGATCCGCTGCTCTGGGGGTGGCTGCAGGCGCTAGTGCGGGTCTGTGTGGCGCGGTTTCTGTGGTCAGCTCGGTCTGGAACGGGTAGTCTTCATTCATGCCGTGATGGCTCGTGTCACCCCAAGTCTCCAGCGCCCGCCACGCTGCCCGAGCAGAGGGGTCCGCAGGGCTGT